CGAATACACAAACTTGCGAGACAGCCTGGTGAGCGTGAACGCGCATGACGTCAGGCCCAGTCTCAAATTCGAGCCCGAATCCCTCTTATATATTTTACTGTACAGGATTATAGAGGCAATCTCAGTAAGCAGAGAAGGGCTCATTCAGCCCATCAGGCAGTTCTTTAAGCATGTATAGGAAGAAAAACAGGTATTTTTAACATGAAAAGTTGCGCAATGCACCTTTAAGGAGAAAATACTCAATGGTGTTGAGTTATGAATTTGCACATTTTTGTCTTAAAGCATATTAAAACACCACACAGCCAAATGAACAACATTAAAAACCTGATTTTTTCTTCTTCTTTTCTTTAAGTACGGAATTCAGGTACTCTATACACCTCTGCTAAAAAGAAATGGCTCATACGAGTAATTTGTTTATGATTTCTTTTGTCATTGTGAACACTCATACACTATGTGCAGTTATCTAAAAAGTGGTCTAAAGACAATAATGTTTGTAGATATAATACAGGCTAAATATACTCTTAAAGGCAGTGTTTAGTTAAAGACTAGATGGCACAGATAACATCAACATTCAGATTAATTATAAGCTCATTATTAACGGAAAACAAATTATGCCGCTGAATCGCTCACACCTTCTCTGACTGAGCATGCAAAATCTTGTTTAGATGGGATTAGTTCAATAATGACTTTAAAGGTATGGTTCCAAATATATTACATCTGAATAGGGTCAGAGATGGAAAAACAGAGGAATATTAATAATATGCAGTTATTTATATTGAATAAGGTGTTTAGGTGCATGCCTATTAAAGGATCATAGCTAGTGTGCGAAAAAGAATGAAGCCAGTATCTTAAAAACAGGCGTATTTTATAATATGGTTTTGGCATACTGTTATCTAATCCTAATATTAGACATTAAATGTGCATTCTACTAGCAATGTAAGATGGTATTCGCTAAATTTTACAGCAACATTAAAAGAACATTTCACTAAGAATGCTAAATATTGTCATCATTTACTCACCCTCATGTTGTTCCAAACCTGTATGGTTTTCTTTCTTCTTCAGAGCAATATATTTTTAAGAATGTTGGTGCGGTCCAAACAACAGAATTCATTGAATTTCATTGTTTTTAGTTTTTTTCCTTCAAAATATCTTATTTTGTGTGCCTCGCATAGGCCCTAAGGATAACCTTTTTTGCTGCTGTCACCTGTGGTCTGCTCCTGAAACCTGCCATAGTGCACATAAGGGCCAATCCAAATAAACACATCAAGAAACACGACCATACAGTACACATACAATGTACTATATAATGAGCTAATAAAAATTGGAGTTTACAAAACACTTGATGCAATACAAGCTTGATTATTAAAAGCTACTTTAGAGAAACTGAAGTTATTAAAAAAGACTATAGCTATTTTAATTCTACGAATGCTGGGTGGATTTAAAGTGCAAAGTTAACAATTGACTACTGCACTATCAATAGACAGCAAACTGTCATTTAAGTCATCAATTGCATTTGACGCACATCTGAATTTGCGTAGTATTTCAGGAACAATGCATGTATTTTTCTTGATGTTAGATGACGTTGCTTGATGTTGTTCACTGAATTCCAAAGTCTGTTGCCGTCTATTTTTATGCTGTCTGGATCTGGTTTCTGCCCTTCTTGGTCAGGTCTTGTAACAGACATTTAAATCTCAATGGGAACAAGCTAATTAAATAATGGTTTAATAAAACTACACACAGGTTAGACAGACGTCTTGCGATTTAAACTAATAAACCCATGAAAGACAGTGGTCAGGGTTCCTACACATTTTCCATTTAAAATGTCCAAACCTCCCTGTAGATTTTTCAGACCATTCTTTACATAAATGGCTCATACAGCATTATTTTCAGCATTATATTTGGTACATAGTAGTCATCTGAAAATATTTTATTTTCTGTTTTTTATTCATTGGTTTTCTTGAATTGATAACATTACATGATGAATAGAAACCTAAGACACTTTATAACCTGTGTATAATAACCTCTGACACACCAGTCTGATGTGGTTTCATGCTGCACAATCACCAGACAGCAAAGTACATTCTGATTTAAATTATTGTTTGCTCCTTTAGCTGTTGCTAGTTTGAGTGGCATTTTAATACACATTCTTTTAGAGAAGTTTAAAAAGACCTGCTGATGGTAAAGACAAACAGTTTTGCATAATAAAAATAAAGCAAAAGAGCCTTCTTTTAAAACATTTAAAAAAAAATCTTAGGCCTACTGACCCAACTTGTGAACTGTAATGTACTTATAACATGTTGAAATCAAGTTAGTAGGATGTTCAATAGAGATACAGCTAACAAACTGCCACGAAAGTCTTATTTACAGTGAAAATTCTTTTGATTCTAACAAGTGTCTTCTAATAGAATTAAAATAGAATGGTTTCATTTGCAATCAGGTGAGCTTAGAAACATACTGCCTCAATGAGGTTTGTCCGAGTACACCCACCGACCATATCTCCATGGCTTTGCTGTTTCTCGCTGCCAGACTTCATTATGTGGAGATCTTCTCTGGTTCTTCCAAATCCCCTCTCGACTGTACCAGCGGACTTAACGGTTTCTCCGCTCAAACCCTACAGTAGCCTATCCGTCTAGCATTTTTCTGAGGAACGACATGTTGGCGGTGCTGACTTACTTGATGAACGGGAGAACTATGCGAAAAGGTTACTTGAAGTTGAAATTATTTAAATAATTATATAATATCATTCAGAATCCCACTGTCTGTGTAAGAAGGGTTCAAATGTGACTATGTGAGGTGTTGTTTAATAGAGCAATAGACCAGTAAGTTACATTACAGTGTCACCTGGTGGTAGCTAGTGTTCATTGCAGCCACAAATCCAGACTGCAGATACAGTAGGGATCTGGAAGCGCAAAAAAAGAAAGCAGAACAACAGCGTCGAAATAAATTATAAGATAAATAATCTTTATTTGACATGTCTTTTCATATATATAAAATTATGTATCCACAATTAATATTACCAAGGCGTTTACAGAGAATTCTTTCTCAGTAGTGGGTGCAAAGCTCCAGCCGGTTTGTGCGCAGGCAGAAAGACAAGACAGCTGTCCAGAACGAACGGATCATCTCAGGACCACTGTGCTCGAGAGCGAATGGAGGGAAACGTCACTACAATCTTTTGTTTGCTTTTCTGATTGTAAGCCTTTCGAAAGTGTTCGTTACAAACAATCAAGTACGTTTCAGAATGAAAACATTCAGTAGCCTATTGTTTGATGAAAACGGTATGTAGCAGAAGCACCAACAAAAGGAGTTTGTAAATGGAATTGAAAAAGATTTACAAAGTGGACGTCCAACTTTCTGCATAACACACAGACATTTCATATCTCTGGAGGCACATGTACCCACACCAAGCCCTTCATAAGCCAGTATTGACTACTGGACGTCACTGTGTAAACCACACGATGTTCCTTTACCAGAACAATCAAACAAAACAGAAAAAAAAAAAGAAAAAAAAAAACTAAAAGTCCTCGGACATTCAAACCCATTTATAGTTGCAAAAATTATCATTAGCACAATTCTTATTTTTATTTTACAACTCCTAAGCTAAATTGAAAAGACACAGAAACCCCTGCAACCTTTAAAAACAAACGGTAACAATGAATAAACAAACTCTACTATTCTACAAAATATTCTCCTTCTTCAGTTACTTGAATGCAGAGAAAAAATAAGTTTTGGACTGTTTTCTTCCGGGTGGTGATGTTTCATTTAAGTCATTATTAAAAAATTAAATATACTGTATAGGTTATTAATTACAGTAACAAGGTTCCATGCAATCAGGTATTTCAATGTTTTTCTTCTGTACAGAGTTCAAGAGATCAGTAGTTATTAGCAAGGCTGTACAAGCCAACACTTTCCATTGGCACAGATGCTAGTGTGATGAATATGAGCGGCCTTACTGCCTCGTGTCAATACGCTGACCCTAAAGTTATATGGTAATACGTTGCCATTGGAATAGCTAAAGGTGTGAGACACAGAGCTTGCCTGTTTTAAAAAGCATTTACATCACTCACATTTATTACTGGCAAAACGGATGATTCTAGACTGCGACGAAAGGATGCTCAGGCCATCATAGCTAACAAGCGGACAAAAACTCTTCACACTGCGGTTTTACCACGGCAAGCATAATGACACCAGGCACAGGCGTAGTTGGTTTGCCAATTTGTCTGAAAACAGCACACCAGCATTTCCCAACAGATCCATGAAGGCATATCATACCCTTAACAGCAAAACTGACAAACTAAACCACCTGGGTTCTTTCAGTCAAATACATTATTATTACTTTATTAAAAACAAAAACAAAAAAGAAAGAAAAAAAGTAGCAGACTTCATCAAGATTGCAAGAAAAGCACTAGCGGTAAAGAGTCCTCCCTCTGCGGACATGTACGGCAAGCATGTAAGACCCACTGCGTAAAGGATGTTTGTGTGTTCATGATGATGACGATTTCAAACTCAACCAAAATGTAGAATATGGAGGACGAAAAACAAGAGCAAATGAAAAAAGCCATTTGGCAGCATACAGTATTAAAGGATGAAAAGGTGCAGCTAAGGACTGCAGATGTTAAACAGCTGTGATTACTGTGATTTACCAGGATAAGACGGTACAGGGAAGAAGCGAGTGAAAGTACATTCAAGTGAGAGCCCTTCACTCCGTAATGAGGGGGCAATGTGTTTGTGTCTGTGTGTAGGAGTGAGTCAGATAATGTTAAACAAGCAATGCTGCGGACCTCGTCTGCCCTTCACGTCAATGAACAAATCCCTTTCTTTCCTCCTCTTCCCTTTTAGAATATTCAAACCCTGCCATTGATATTAAGACTTACAGCATGTGACAGGCTGCTCCATGTTTGGATCGATTTACTTGCAGCAGATAGTTACTAGTGTTCAACTGGAGTTCACTCTACAGAACAGAGGTGAAGAGGAGGAGAACTCTGGGATACATCAACTTTACAATATGAAAATAATAAGAAAAAAGTTTTACAGCTAAAATTAATTCCTGGGCCTATTATTACACATTCAAGTGCAATAAAAAAAATCTGCTGCCAGGTTTAGCCTTGTGTAAACAGTTATCTAAAAGGAAATGTATAGCTAAGAGAAGGACCTCTCAGCCCTGAAGGTGGCAACCCCGTATGTAAAGAAGAGAGAAAGGAGAGAGAAAAAGAGAAACTGGAGTTGAGCACTTAAAGAAACTGGTCATTCTGTCCAAACAAACATTCACACGTTAAAAGACGCCCATGGTGCCAACTTCATCCTCTCTTTTTCAATTTCCATCTCTTTACATTGTTTATAGTGACATGTTTTTCTATGGCCAAATGATGATTCATCGTCCCCCTGTGAATTTAACCCGTAATACCCAAATGCTTAACCTCAAACCCCCTTCTCCCTCAAGTGCACCAGTAACTGCCATACTATGTACAGAATGTGTGTTGAAAGCTAAAAAGCAAGATAAAGACAACAAACAGTCACACAACCGACATGATTGAATTAGGCCCATGCACATGCTAGCACACACACACACACACACAGACTTAATGTCTCGCTCTCTTACACACACACACACACACACACACACACACACACACACACACACACAGTAATAAACTACAAGCCCTGCTTGTTTTAGTGGTGGCTGGACATGCAGCGGAAACACGGGAGGACTGATGATGAGGAGTCTGATGACGTGTGTGTGAATGTGTGCGCATGGGGTGCAGTCTTAAAAGATCAGAGGAAATAGGCAGGTGGGTGCGTGTGTTCATGTGTGTCTGGAGGAAGTTGTCCTAGAATTTCAGCTGCCGACTCTTCCTGTACCTTTCCTCCTCTTCACCTGCAAAAGGCCAAAAATGAGAGAGAGAGAGAGAGAGAGAGAGAGAGAGAGAGAGAGAGAGAGAGAGAGAGAGAGAGAGAGAGAGAGAGAGAGAGAGAGAGAGAGAGAGAGAGAGAGAGAGAGAGAGAGAGAGAGAGAGAGAGAGAGAGAGAGAGAGAGAGAGAGAGAGAGAGAGAGAGAGAGAGAGAGAGGGGTTTTTATAGTGCCTTCAGGAAATGAAGACCAAAAACATAAAGGTGATTTTGAAATGGACAGGCCATAGTTAATACCTTTTTACATAGCTTTTTAAAGATGAGAGGAGAAAGTTAAACTGCCGGAGGAGAAACAGATCAGAAGAAACAAACAATAAATGACAATATAGAAGACGTCAATATAGAATAACGTCAATATAAAAGAGACAGAAGCATTGACTGGAATATTATGAACAGTCATATCAAGGACATCTACAACACTTTAGCCACACAAAAAGAGGGAAGCATGTTCCTGTAAACAGGCTGTACCTTCTAAGTGGTGGCGGGAGATATACTTGAGTGCCTCATCCAATAGGATAACAGGAATTGAGATCTTGAGGACTACAATCCATTGGGAATAATGCAGTGGAGTTACCTGGAAGATCAGCTGGGAAACACAAGATAAGACAAAATGAGAAACATACTGTAACATGCAGGGATGCAATCTCATCAGGTGTGAAACAGGTGCCAAAGAGGCGACCCGGAGGGCATATCCCAGCTTTAAAATGTGCAGTTACAGTCAGTTTTATCAAAGAAAACTTTAGGATGACCATGGCACTCTTGAATGAAAAAGCCTATATTATCAGATGGCTACATACAAACAAATATAAAAAAAAAAACTCTCCAACACGTTTCGGCCCATGCCTTCCTCAGGGAGAGCAACACAACAACACATGCATGCAATTTCATTCATTAAGACATCTGATTAGTTAACAGTAGTCATGTGATCAACATCTCTTTGCGACATTAAACATTCACCAATACATTTCCAAACTCAAAAACTTACATTACACTACATTGTCAGTTTTACATGAAGATATAGGGGGAACAACTCTTTTAAATCCCTACTTCAGTTGTTCTGGAACTGATTTAATATGACTACACAATACAACTACTACCAGTAGTTAATTTATTATTATTAACAGCAACAACAACAATTATTATTATTGCTTTTGTTGTTTTTAAAATATATGAAATATTAAAATATTTTATTTTATTTTATTAAATTACAAAAACAAACATTATTACTATAATAACTATTGAACTGTAGAGTAAAACAAAATAGTATTTAATAATAATAATAATTGTTATTATTATTTTGCAGTACAAAAGTAAAATTGCATTGCTAATGTTTTTGGCTGTCTTCATTTCTTTGCTTTCAAACGTTAAACCATATAACTTATTTTTTGAAAAACAACCGCAGCCTCTCTTTTGCTGACAATAGATTAAGAAATTATAGTAAATGTAGTAAATGATTAATGATTGTTTAAATGAGTTAATGATTCTCATTTTTGGGTGAACATTCCCTTTAAATGCTTATACACAAGTCTTCATATCTCCTATTAATCTTTAGTTGTTTTTTTTAGGTTTATTCCACTAGGTGTTTTTGAGGTTCAATCCATCATTTGTACCATTATATAAAGTATTAAATCTAACTCTAAAGTGACAGAAAAATAGATATTTCCAATATATTTGACTCACCGGTAGAGGCTCCACATACAGGATGAGGAAGTGTAGAGACAAGGAAAGGATTATGGCTCCCAGCAGCCATATATTCACCCAGGGTGGCATCCTCAGCAGAGACTGATTCTCGGACAGGCTGAATGAGAGAAGAGTTGGTATAAATAAGTTATTTAAGACCCAAGGCACTGACTGAGAGCAAGTAGTCATTTAGGTTATGCTCACATTAAAAAAAATGGCATAATGCACTTAATAGAGGAACAGTCCTCCTGAGCAACCAGGCTGCAAATGCCTTGATGAAGGCAACAATAAATGACCTCTTGAAGGGATTCAACCTGTAACATTTGAGGGACCAGCCCAGACCACCAGTCTACGCCACTCATATTTTATTGAAGTGAGAAGAATGGAAGTAGCAAAAATGACAACAATAACATACAAAATATATAAAACACTAACAACAAAAAAGATTTATTTGAAGAAAATTAACTCGAGAGCTGTTACAGACCCAGCACAACTCAACCGAGCTCATGAGACATCTAAAGTGTGCTTTAAAGAAACCATTTGGCATTGCATCAACTGTGTTCTTTCAATATGTCTATCACCATGACTGCAGATCTTACCTGTTAAGAGAGTTGAACATCTCTATGGTAACAAGCACAGAGAGAGCCATGGTGGTGGGGTAACGTGACTCAAAGACCTCACAGTTAATGCCCTCAAACATGGGGTTGTCTTCTGTACACTGCATGAAGTGCCGCTACAGATGAGAAAATTAGGGGGGGACAGTAATATTAGCACCACTAGCCATCTTGAAGATCTTTAGCTACATTTCAAATGGTGATCTTCAAGTGTTTGTTATCTTAGTGGTTTCACAGTGGCTATTAATAATACAGAAAGGCTGTGTTTCAGTACATCTAATAATATCAGATGCAAAATTTATGAAGACAGGAAATTTGACCCATTGATGGCAGTCATTGTGACCTCTGAAAGGCTAAGTTACGAAATTAAGACAGCCAAAAGCATTAGCATTGCAATATTATGGTTGTTCTGCAAAATAATAATAATAATAACAATTATTGGAATTATAACTATTATTATTAATTTTACTATTTTACTATACAGTTCAATAGTATTATTAAAAACAATAATAATTTGTTGTTAATAATTATAAATTAACTACAATTAGAAGTAGTTCAGAGGTCAAACATAAACGTAATGTACAGTATATGGTCTCCCTGTTGACTCACCAGCTGATAAAAGGACACCTGTGGCCCTTCCTCATCATACAAATACCACCAGGTAGCAGCACTGACAGTGCCTAGACCCACATATCCTAGAACAACAAGAGTAAAAGCCTGTTAATTGGTTAATGGTAAGTTCCCTTACTCTATACAGTGGAAATCTATAATAGATCTAATGGGACATTTCACATAATTTTACAATATTGATAAAGTGCTATGCCAAAGGGAACTTTACTGGATTCATACTCTGGACGCCTTGCATCCTAAAGGTTTAAATGTGGACTTTGACATGAGTGTCATGCTATAGTCACAGTTGTACGGTCTTTTATAAGTTTTCTATAAGTTTTGAATACTGCAGTTTATGAAGTTGTTACTGATGTTTTTGCAGTCTCCATATACTTATATAGTAAGCATGAATGAATGTGTGTGTATATATATATGCGCCTCTATATATATTTTTTGTATATTTTTTGTATATGTGTATACTTATGTCGGTTTCTTGTAGTGTGGTTTTTCATTTTTCTTTGTCTTTGTTCCATTTTGTTTTTTCACTATGTGGAGTTAGTGTTAATCACCTAAAAACTACAACTCCCACTATTGGACTACAACTGGTCATACCTGGCCTCTGCAGGTGTGGGTTATCATTGTTGATTGTCCTGATGTGTGTTGAACACAGTTAAATGGAATGTGACATTTAGTTTTTGTATGCCCTGAGGATGGTCTTGTGACCGAAAGCTTGGCGATTAAAATTGCTTTAAAGGATTCAAGTGTGCAGACAGTTTATTTATTTTCTGAGTTGTTTAGTTGTGTCTGTCTGGCACCTTGTTTATCGTGAGTGCGGTGAAACACCTTTAAAATACATAATTTTACAGTAAAATACTTTTTAAGCTTTTGGAACTGAAATAGAAGTCATCCTATAATATACAGTGAAAAACTGTAAATTGACATTCCCAGAATTCTCTGTTTTCATCGAAGGTTTCAATAATGCTTATGATGTTTATTGCATTATTTTAGTGTCATATGAGTGACCATGATGGCGTTTTGTATTTGTGTGCATGACACTGTGGCATCTGCTTTTTACCTCAGTGGAAAAGCTAAACTATGATTTATAATGTGGCTTTCTCTTTACCACCAGTGTTCTTTTCAGTATATTATAAATATAAATGTAAAAAATCAATTGTAATAATTTGGTATATTAACATTACTTCAGTTAACATATTTTACAGTGTAGAGCTGATTTACAGTTTTCAGGGAAGATCTGTAGGTGAACTAATGTGGCAAAAACAAAATGTCAATAATATTAGATTCTATGAAATAACCGAGATATTGGGCTAACCTCCGATGGCCAGGTATCTGAAGAAGAGCCAGCCGGAGATAAGAGGCTCCTTAGGATTTCGGGGGGGCTTGTCCATGATGTCCAGGTCAGGGGGATTGAAGCCCAGGGCAGTGGCCGGCAGACCATCCGTTACCAGGTTCACCCACAACAGCTGGACAGGGATCAAAGCCTCAGGCAGGCCAAGGATGGCTGTCAGGAAAATACTGTGAGGGGGGAAAAAAGGGAACCCACATGAGGGTAAATGTGGTTGGGATACTGAAGCACTAAACAAATCAGGCTCTCACTCACCACACCACCTCTCCCACGTTGGAGGAGATGAGGTAACGGATAAACTGCTTCATGTTGTTGTAGATGGCTCGTCCCTCCTCCACTGCGGCCACGATGGTGGAGAAGTTATCATCAGAGAGCACCATCTCGGAGGCTGACTTGGCTACAGCGGTGCCTGAGCCCATGGCGATGCCAATTTCAGCCTTTTTTAAGGCAGGGGCATCATTCACGCCATCTCCAGTCTGAAAGTGAGATGGGAGGAAGGAACAGAGTGAAGGATAAGGGTTAGTGGATACTCGTGGGCTTTTCACACAACACTAAACATTGGCTAAGCCCCACTTATAAACCGTGACTGACCTCACCAAATCAAATCATATGGTTGAGGGGATTCCCCCTTCTATGTAAAGCGCTTTGAGTGCTGAGAAAAGCGCTATATAAGTGTAATGAATTATTATATCAGAATTATTTATGAAGGGTCATGTGACACTGAAGACTGGAGTAATGATGCTGAAACTTTAGCTTTCATCAGAGGAATAAATTACATTTTAAAATATATTAAAATAGGAAACAGCTATTTTAAATTCCAATCATATTTCACAGTATTATTGTTTTTACTGCATTTCTGAACAAATAATTGCAAACTTGCTGAGCATAAGAGGATTTTCTTCCAAAAACATTAAACATTTTTACCAACCCCAAACTTTTGAACGATAGCATACATTTGCTCCAAGATAAATTGAAGCGATTTCATTTATGAATTGATGGTGTTACCTTGTAATTTAACTATTTAAAGAACAATAAATTCAAATGTTTGAAATGTCACACTTCATTCCAGAAAACACAAATAATATTCACAACATTTTTACCACATAACTAACACATTTTACTGAAAAATCACATTGTTCTAGAAACATCCAATTCACTTCTATATGTTCTGTAAAGCTGGTCTGAGTTGGCAACAGTAACCAAAAGGGTGTGGAGCTTATCAAAGGGTCAATTTAAAGTCTATTAGTTTATACGGTGGATTAAAGTAAAGATTTAAACCACATTGAGCTGACAGAACTAATGATCAAAAGGTACATTTTATTCACTCTTAGGTAAAAGCGTATTACAGGCTGGGGATTAAACAAGAGTCAAGTAGAGGATGAGGAAATCTTTTTTTCTTCTGAAAGAAGCAAAGCAGCCTCTGTCATGCACACTGATGTCTGGAAAATACCTCAAGTCCCTAAACGACAAACAGACACATGCTGAGCTGAAGCTGGGGGGGACACAGCGTGAGAACAGGAAGAGCACAGACATGTTCTCATAACTCCAGCAGGGAAAATCAGCATAAAATACAAGGCTGTCTGTCTCTGAGAGATGTACAGTAGGTGCTGCAGCATATTATTGCTAAGAGACTGGAGAGTAGAATCAGAGACTTCATCCTTCTTATGATCCCAGATTGTATGATTGTCACCTTCAATCGTATTAACAGCCCAAGTCTGTGACAACAATGATCACATGCTGTATTTAAAGTTATTCATTGGTGGTGGTAATGAAACATTTTATTTTACTCAAACCAAATGTATAGCAATTAGATTTTACAATAATATTAAATGTAAGGTTAATGCCTAATCATTTCTGGTCTCATGTTAATTTGAATTAAAAAGGTTTGAGTGCAGGGCCTAAAATGAGCTTTTTCCACACCTGCTAATTGGTGGGTGAATTGAGAAAATGTACTGGCCATGATAGTGAACTTACAGTACATCAGGAGGTCACACTATAGTTCTTACAATTCAATTTAAAACATTTATTATGTTGTAGCTCCTAATAAAGTAACCAACTGATGACTGACTCACTTTTTTCAAGCGAATTTTTACTACCATTTGGTGGTTGGCAAATGTTTATTTCGGACTCTCTTTTGGTGTTTCAACAGGGGTTTTTTTGAGGACCTTTTGTGAAACCAGCCACTAACCACTATATCTCACCATCGCTGTGATCTCATCAAAGGACTGTAGATAAGCAACAATCTTTGTCTTGTGTGCAGGCTCGACACGGGCGAAGCACCGTGCCCTTTTCACAGCCTCTCGCTGGGCCTCTAGAGTCAGGTCATCGAACTCTCTACCCGTGTAGGCCCTTCCTTCCACGTCTTCATCCTCTTTGAAAATGCCGATGCGTCTGCAAATGGCCACGGCGGTGCCCTTGTTGTCCCCGGTGATCATGATGACACGTATACCGGCCTTACTGCACAGCTTCACTGCGCCAATCACCTCCTTTCTGGGCGGATCCAACATCCCCACACAGCCAACGAAGGTGAGATTTGACTAAACAGATGAACAAATTTTGCATGTAATCAAAGACACATAAATTTACATGTACAGTGGCATGAGACTTAATCCACATGCAAAATGTATGAGGAAAAGCAATACCAGAAAAAGAAGTGGAATCTACAAACAAATATTATTTAGTTGTGTGTGTGTGTATATATATATATATACACACATAAAAAAAAAATATATATATATATATATATATATATATATATACACACACACACACACACACCTAAATAATATTTGTAACTAATTAATAATTGTTTTAATACATAATTTTAAACCCAACAAAATTCTATTTGAGAAGTGTCCTTGTGTTATCCTGCTTTAAAATAAACCTCTTGATGTTTTGCTATGTAACGGAATGGAACTGTTATATTTTTTGTGTCACTGTACATTACATAGCGAAAAACTATTGTGGTAAAACATCAAGTGCACAGATGTGTATAAAGATTTTATACAACATCCAAACTCTCTCACCTCATACTCTGAGAACTTGACAGCGTTTTCCAGGTCCATTTTGTCATCAGAAGGAGGAGCGTCTCGTGTGGCCAAAGCCAAGCAGCGCAGTGTGTCTCTGCCTGACCCCCAGTCTCTAATAGTGTTCATCAGCTCCTCCTTCACAGTCATGGTCAACGGGACACGGTCTTTACCAACACGCACAAATTGACAACGGTCAATCACGCTCTCTGGAGCACCCTACATACAAAAAGAATGAAAGGAGAACCAGGTGTGATGCATATAGCAAAGTTTACTGAAGGTATTTATTGATGTCCGATGTTCAGTGTTGGGGGTAACGCAAGGTACGTAATCAGATTACTCTTTTTAAAGGAATGCATTACTTCTAAATCTACAACAAAATATTTGAGTTGCGTGTTCAAATAAGTAACTCAAGTAACTTTGTTTTCCCAAATATAGACTGGCAGCTCTCCCGTCCCCATTTTGAGAGAAATCAGGAGTGAGGCAGAGGCGTTGTGTGCGCTGTGTAAACATGATGGATATTGTAGTTCTAGACTAAATGTGCGCATGCTTTATTCATCTCACTTGCACAAAATATTCAGTATTACTCAAAATGAATAAAAACATTGAAATACAAACTCAGAATATTATACAAACCTGCAATAGTTAAATGCAATAAAACAAACCTACTTTATGTATTTAATCTCACTTTTTAACCATTGTCTTTGCCGCTGACTTTCGATGATCCAATTCAACTATACTAAAGCAAAATTAACTTTAGATAAACATCACTTCTTTTTTTATTGCTGGGGAGTGTTTAACTTTCTTCTCCTGCATCCTATTTGTCTGCAATCCAGAATGGCAGCACAGCTGAAAGGTTTGTTTGAGAAGCGCCCTCTACTGTACAGGCGTGAATTTGCATTTCCTTTTGCATTCGCACCTTTTGTACGAAAGGGCCTTTATATTTGGCAAAAACAGAACCTTTTTTTTCTTAAAAACAAAAAAGCAAGACCAGCCCAGATGAGAGAAAGTAACAAAAATAATTTAATGCATTACTTTCCATAAAAAGTAACCAAGTAATGCAATTAGTTACTTTTTAGGGAGTAATGCAATATTGTAAAGCATTGCTTTTTAAAAGTAATTTCCCCCAACACTGCCACTGTTTTTGGATGTGTTTAAGCTAGCAATACCTTGACAAACATCTTGCTTTGAGAGTTTGAGCCATTGGGAGTGCAGTACACAGACATGGACTTCCTGTCTCTGGAAAACTCCAGCGTGAATTTTTTCTGCATGAGTTTTCTGATAATCTAGGGGGAAGAAGGAAAGAAAAAGAGAAGAAGAGAGAATGAGAGATGTTACATTAAACAAAAGTGAAACACTCTCTGCTATCAGTGTGCATGTATGTTGGGTAAGATGCCACTCTCTCAGCTGTTTTCTAGGGTTGCCTTCAGACATCACTGTTTGTAGTCAGCAGGTGGTTGGAGAAGAGTAACTGACAGACTCTATGCAACACTGCAGTAGATTTCTCAAAAAGTGTTTAGACTTTAGACTTAGTGGCAACAGAAAATTTCTAAATATGTTTGAAACTAACCGCAGGGTTGAACAATTCGGCATCCCTGCATATAACTTTTTATTTTTAAAAAGTACACGACATCTAATGAAAAAGCATTCAAAAGTTTTAGGGTTGGTAGGCTATTTTAATGTGTTTAAAAAACGTCTCTTATACTCACAAAGGCTATATTTATTTAATAAAAATACAGTAAACAGTAATATTGTGAAATATTAGCACAATTCAAAATAACAGTTTTCTATTTTAATATATTTGAATTTATTCCTGTGATGGAAAAGCTGAATTTTCAGTTGCAATTACTCTAGTTCTCAGTGTCACATGATCTTTCAGAAATCATTCTAATATGCTGATTTGGTGGCCAAAAACATTTCTTAATTGCTTAATGTTTTTGTAGAAACCATGATTTTTGCAGATTCTTTGATGAATAGAAAGTTTAATAGAAATTTCAAATGAACAGCATTTACAACAAATCTTTTGTATTAATAATTTTGTCCTTGCTGAATAAAAGTATTAATTTCTTAAAAAAAAAAAAAAAAATCTTACTGACCCCAAAAACTTTTGAATTGGAGTGTACATTTAGCTAAAAAATAGAAACTGATCATGCCCCATAATTTTCTGTTAAGTATTCACTTTTGAAAATAAATAAATGAAATAAAATAACCACAAAAAAATATACAAGAGAAACATTCAGTGATGCAAGAGCATCATTTTGCCACTAGGTGGAAACCACCTCCATCACATGAGAACAGAGCATTTACACTGACCTACCTACTTACTCTGTTGGCGTCTCTGTCTGTGGCTCTGTTTTATATTGGGATCAGATGATCTACTCAGTCATTCTACAGATTTTTAGATAAGGCATGCATGTGTGAGAGAAAACCAGTGACTCCCGTTTCCAGCTTATCTGAGAACAACACGACGTCATTCCTCGGCAGGTTTCCTGTGTTCTCAATCCTCAACAGCTTTTAAAAAGAAAAACACATCTAACTCCCTATTACACCAATTAATGTGCCCATCCAACCATCTGACATGTTTGAAAGTTTACCACCAATATGTAGAGACAAAAGAAATGTCTCTTTTTTGTTTCCATAGGGCAGTAAAGTTTTGGATCAGAGTGGAAAGTTTAGATAACCAGGCGAGTGTATGAAGAGGTTATCTAAATATTATGCTTTTCCTCTGGGAGTCTGTGTGACTAAGTTTCTTTTTTTGGAAAGAAGGATTCAGGGGTCAGCAGAATAAAGAAAGTGGTGCTGGTCATTCACTCTTTCAGAGAAAAATGATCCCCGTAGGGAAAAGGGAGAGGGGGATCAAGACTAGTCCACTGTTCCAATGTTTTGGAACCCAGTGGTCTTTCACATCATACTTAGACCAATTGGCATGCATGCATAAAGTTTATTAACTTGTGTAAGTGTTTGTGTTAGAGACATTTCCCATCATGTTTTCAGGGTTTAAGTGAAAATCATTTTGTTTATATGCAAGAGAAACACGCACACATATTAGTGCTGTCAATAAATTAAAAAAACTTTTTAATTAAATCGCAAATTTTTCTGTAATTGCTATCATTCACACCTAACATTAAAGTTTTTTGTAAATATATTTTTATGTTGTAATAATTTGAAAGGTATCAATTTTAACATTTATTAGGCTTTAAAGAAATATAACAACATTTAATTTAAGTGAACTTAAAAAAATCTTCACATAAATCAGGAGTATGTTTTAATAAATGCCACATTTACCTGTGCCCTTCAATATATCAGGACTCAATTTTTCTATTGGCCCAGTCAGACCGGTTCAGATTACCTTTCGATACGGTTCACTCAGATTACTTCAGTTTCTGACACTTATTGGCAAAACTCAGTTTTCACCAAATACTGAAGCCTGATTGGTTCACGCCTTTCAGCCCGCCAAAAAGGGCGGGGCCGATTGCCTATTTAAGTCGTGCTGAAAGCCATTGATAGCGATGATAATCTTGCTGACTCTGAAGAGACGAAAGAAGTCTTCTGCTCGCCGTAGAACAAGCCTGAAGCAAGGGTATTAATGTGGCTTTCACACTTGCAACTCACTCAGCGTTTCTACCCATCCAGAAATTACTCAGAGCAAATTTCACGATCTAAAAGTGCAAATTCAAGCAGCATTTGCTTCAAAATGACGCACCATGAGTGTGGCTCATAGAGGGCTCCTCTGCATCCCTCGGATGAACACACAATGAGTGAATCGCTTGCCTGGGACACGCCCACGCTGAGGCTGCACTCACGGAGACCAACTGCTCTCGCACTGCTGAGCTCTGGGACCGCTTTCTTTAAAAGCGAGCAACCCTGGCTTGCACGCTCTCCCATTGTGTTCTCTGCTTGAGCAGAGACGGAAGAAACAGTGGAGCTACGGGGCGGAGCAACCAGACTCTCCCCTCAGCATGACGATTCACAAGTGCTCTTCACCCGTAAAGACCAGCAACCCTCACTTTCTGCAAGCGCCATGGTTTCTTTTGCGGCTCAGAGGAGGGCTTTGACGACAGTGTGTCGCTAGCTGCTTCTGAGGCAGAGGACTGGGTGAACTCTGGGGATGACTCCACCCCCGGCCTCTAAAAGAGACAGACACAGCCAGGCCTTGGCAGGACTCGGAGCTCATCTGCGTCCTTACAAAGGCTGTAGAAGAATTGGGCTTAAAGTAGTCAACCCCAGAGGAGCCCGCCCGCAGCCGCCTCTGCCCGCCCATAGCCCTCGGTGGCCAAGCTGAATCTGGCCTTTATAGAATGTCGGTCCTCCAGGTATCCCAGGTTAAGCTTCTCGCCATGGCCTTCAAGGAGCTGCGCAGCGCAACCGACCTCGCCCTGCAAGCCACTAAGTCCAAGGCCCAAGCGATAGGTCATGCCATGACCAACCTGGTGTTCCACGAGCGCCACCTTTGGCTGAATTTGATGGAGATCAAGGACGCAGACAAGACAGCCCTTCTTGACTCTCCCTTGGGTCTATTTCCTTCTGGAGTGGATGGCTTTGTGGAGCTTTTTACAGCAGCCCAAAAGTTGTCGCAGGCGATATGCCACTTCCTGCCAAGGCAGGCCAGTTCTTCCTCTGCCTTGAGTCACCCTAAGTCGTTGTCAACTCAGCAGCACGCCAAGCTGGCCCCGCAACCGCTCAGCCCCAGGCCAAGGCGGAATCCAAGGTGAAGCAGTGCTTCCACCCAGCTAAGCACTACCCGTTTCCCAGGAAATTGCCCCATCTATATCAGTTGGGGTTCGAACCGTGCTTAGTGGAGACTCCATCCCCAGGTGGTCCGCATGATCAGGAGCATTTTTGGGCAAGCAGAGGTGGACCTCTGCATCGAAAGAGAACTCCTACTGCCCGATGTTCTTCGCAAAGGAGAAGGCACATTAGCCAACAGGTGGCCTCCTCTGCACCTTTACACCTTTCCTTCAGTAGCTCTGCTCCCTCAGGTCATCAATCGAATCAGGTAGGACAGATGCTCGGTTTTACTCGTGGCACCACTCTTGCAAAACCAACCGTGGTTCCTGGGGATGGTTCAGCTGCTATCAGCAGCACCATGGCCAATTCCGTTGAGGAGGGATCTCCTTTCCCAGGTAGGAGGGTCAATTTGGCATCCCGAACCAGAGTTGCGGAGCCTCCATCTATGGCCTCTCGACGGGAGCCATCATGTCTTTCCAGGAGGTCATGAACACGATCTCTGAGGCTAGGGCACCTTCTACCAGGACAAGGCTATGTGCCCAAGGTGCTTTCCATGCCCTTTAGAGCACAGGTTATAATGCTCTCGGTTCTCCCCTCCACTGAGGATGAGCAGATGCCACACTCACTGCGCTAGTAGCACGGCGCTATTGAACTGCGTTCCCCATAAGAATCAGAAACTGACACAATGCGAGTGAACCATATTGAAAGGGAACTTTCTGGTTACTAACGTAAACTTGGTTCCCTGAGATAACAGGAATGAGCAGTGCGTAGCTTGCTGTGCTACTGCGCTTACACGAGAGTCGGCGCTGCCGCTCCTCAGTCAAAACATTCTGATGAAAATTACTTTCAGCGTGACTTAAATAGGCTGTAGGCCCCACCCGTTTCAGCGAGCTGAAAGGCCATTTGTCTGTACAGGTGCAACAACAGCAGGTTTATTAGGCTGCTGTCACTTTAAGACCTGCCACACAGGACGCAGACCTGACACGGATCCCATTTTCTCACAAATCTACGTTAATTTAAGACCTCATTTAACTGTGCTTGAAGACATGGCCGTTCTGTCGAGTATTCTTGCATTTCTTTTAAATATCCTGTCTTGCACCACTGACCAAACTTTATGAGCTCTAATATTTCTTTTGAAGCTTGAAATATCTATCGCTCCATTTATCGTTTTTCATCACTAACTCTCCTGTTATGTTCTCATTTATTGCAGTCTGTCTCATATCCTGGTGCACACCATGGCTCCCTTCTTACCAAGTTACAAGCTGCAGCTCGGTCCACTTTGCTAAGTCCAGAGAGATCCGTTTTAAACACGTTCATCTTCTCAACCAGCGTTGTGAGCGCAGTTTCCGTGGCCTCGCCCACTTTCTCGTACACCCCTTTAGCCTGAGGGACAGCATAAGCACAAAAGTGTGTAAACATTCAGTGCCCTATCAGCACAAACAACATGAAGTCTATGGCACTTGCATAATCATTTAAAACATAAGACTAGAGTCAAGCACTCACTTCAGAAATGATTGTTTCTGTGCACTTTAAATGTCACATGAAAGCAATGGACCATGCAAGTATGTACTGTAACAAAGAAATCCAACTTCATCTAACTCTGTACAAGTGCAGCAACAAAGCATGTCCTATTATAACATTTTAAATAATTTCTATATAGGGTTCTTAACATTTTTGTCCAGTTAATTTTCATGACTTTCCCAGTCATTCTTGATTACTGGATGATATATTATTTTTATGAAAAGCACATGACCGTTTTCTAAGGCTGTTTGGGTTTTGATTCTTAGGTACTGTTAAACTGCATACATTCAATGCAAATCAATTTAGAAAATGCATGTACTGTACACATGTTTTAATGTTTTTGAAAGAAGTATCTTGTGCTCGCCAAGGATGCATTTATTTGATCAAAAATACAGTAAAACAATAATATTGTGAAATATAATTACAATTTAAAATAACTGTTTTCATTTTAAAATATATTTTACAATGTAATTAAATTCCTGTGATGGCAAAGCTACATTTTTACCATCATTACAGTCTTCAGTCTCATGATTCTTCAGAAATCATTCTAATATAATAATTTGCTGCTCAAGAAAGATTTCTTATTATCAAATGTTGAAAACAGTTCTGCTTAATATTTTTGTGGAAAGCATGATTTCTTTGATGGAAAAATAACAGCATTTATTTAAAATGGAAAGCTTTTGTAACAATATAAATGTCTAAATGAGAAATTTATAAACAGTGGTATATTGTAAAATGATTTTTTTTAATTACATTTCAAGACTATAAATCACAATTTTTTATTTATATAATATTTCCAGGTTTTCCATGACCGTGGGAATCCGGTTTGTAACTGTAATGGCTGCACCTAAAGATCATGGGCTGTCACTATTCTTCGATTAAATTAGAGTACTCGATTTAAAAAAAATCCTGGATTGTAATTTACAATGTCGAGTAACCGGCAAGATCCCGGAAGTGGCGCATTCCACAGAAAAGAATCCATGTACAGCATTATTAGACTTCTAGATTTCTAAGGCTGCACAAAGTATTAAAACCATTAAAAAAACATACTACAGCATAGATCATGCTATTATTGAGTGCTTTAATTATTTACATGCTTGTAGGTTACGTGCGTCTCAGAGCGGCTCTGTTCACAGATGCTGCTCCTCATGAACCGTTATCATTTACATACGTGGAGTGCGTATCAAACTCTATCTATGCATATGCTGCGAGTTTGGGTTGCTTATAACGTTCATCTGGGAACGCAATGTGCGCGCCATTTCATCAGATTTGTAAGGTAAGTCATTTATAAACCTACGCCAGCAAAGGAGAATACATCATTATAGGTTTCTAAATATGCGAAATGTTCATCACGATTTCAAAATAAAAGTCTAAACCCTAGCTCTGAGTTTGCATGTTTTGATGTCCACATTTTCTTATTCAAGAAATGACAGTGGCTGTAGCATTTCTATTTTAAAGAAGTTGCCAAATATTAAAGATTAAGTTAACATTTGAATTAAATATCGCTTGGCCAATATTAAAGGAGCTGTATGTAAGATTGTGGCCAAAATTGGTACTGCAATCACTTTCAAATTACTGTAGAGCTGTGTATCCCCTCCCCCTCCCCCTGAGTCGAGGTTGCCAGATAGGCTGCAGGATCCAGCAGGAATGTGACGAGCTGCAGCTGTGGTAACTAGAGCAGAGCTGGCAACCCGGATGCCGAAACACTACTGACTTCGTGATTGGTAGATAGGTGGAGGGTGGGGCTTCAGGCCAAAACACAAGATGACAACATCAACATCAGTTGAGGGCTGCAACTTCACTTTTTAAATGACAATATGGTGGCCGTACTACTGTTGTCAGTGATATAAGTATTTGAAATGAACATGATTTCTTAATGTCTAGAGACACATCAGGGCCATTTTATGATTAATTGAAATACATTTCTTACATACAGCTCCTTTAAACTAGGATTTGATCTACTGTAAAGTGTAACAACACCAGGTCGTGGGTGCCCTCTGCAGGCATTTATTATACATAGCCTGATGAACATAAGTTGATTGTCTATATTATGTATATATTATGCATTTTCACAGTGTTTTTCTATAAAACTGTAATATGATTACTTTATTTTGATACTTTATTTGAAACAATTATTATTGCCTCATTGTTATTATTTATATATATGTATTTTAAAAGCTATTGTTTACTTAGGTCTGTTTTTATTACTACAAAAAATATACGATTAATCGTCAAAATAATCGACCGATAACTCGATTACCAAAATAATTGTTAGAGATAGCCCTAACAGTGTGTTCTATGAAAATCCCAGGCTAACATTTGTTACTTATCATTCAAACACATGGCTCCTGTGTTAACATCTATAATGGTTTATTAGATTCACAGTTCATTTTATGGATGGTGTTCAACTCTGTCCTGAAATATTTGCATTATTCCAGGAAGCAGGGTGCTGTGGTAGTGAAACTTGACTAGCTTTTACTCAGCTAGTGATTATTTATCCTATTAAAAACATGGTCAGATTAAAGTAATAAGACTTTTTTTTTTATATTTGCTTGATATTGGTGATTTAGTGGCGTCCTTTAACTTTAACATTAGATTGGGTGCCTTTAACAACAAAGCATGCTTTAAAAATCTTCAGCTTGTCCTAACTTGTACTGTCCTTTACCCTACCCGACAACCACAGAAAACGCTATGATATTTACGCAACAGTAACCATGATACGATGGCAATGGCACAGAGGTGAGAAATACAAGCCAAACAAGCACAGTGTGAATAGTTAAGACTTCAGCAATGAGAGTAGGACAGACTCAAAAACACTGAACAAGACTCATTTTGTTAAACTCAGAAGGGTAAATATTAGGGCTGTCAACTTTAGTCGTTTAGTCGACTAATCGGTCGATGCCGTCTTGGTCGACTGACGTTCTTATTGGTCGACCAGTCGCATTTTTTTTATTTTTTTTTTTTTACCAATAGAAAGAATTTTTCAATGATTTACTCCTTGATATTTATTCCTTTATAAGCAGTTATATATTACTGTATTCTAAATATAATTAGCCTATGGTTTATCCCCAACTTTAAATGCTTTAATTTAGGCTATTTTGTAACAGCGCCACAGTTTAGCGCACACACATAGAACAGTCGGTTCGCACCTGTGGGTGGCTGCGCTGCTGCTTCGTGCTCAGTAAGGGATATAGGTAGTTTAGCTGTATTCATTCAGTTAGAACGCTACTTGTTTCGGTTTTTATGTTTTTATACACTATATGTTTTTATCTCGATGCGGCGTGGACGCACTTGGAAAAAAAAGAGCGCGTCGCACCGCGACCGCGTTGCTTCCATCATGAGCGGGCACACCGCGCGCCTACATTTGAAATCGAACTTGAGCGCGCAAAAGACGTGAGCAGTCCCGGCTTTATCATGCTGACTTAATAGATTGTGTTTTCTTGATATGTTTTTGTTTTTATTTGTACACTTGACGCATTTGAAAATAGCCTAAATAATGTAACAAAACGAAAATAAACCTATATGCGGTCCTACAATACAGCCTATTATTATTAGGAATGTTTTTTAGGCTCTTTGGTTTTTTGTGTGTGTTTGTTTTAAAACTCCTAGATTGGCTGGACAAAAGTTAACCCATAGCTTTGAAAGTAAAGAAGAATATAGGCCTACAGCCTGTATAAACGAGAGCTTTTGTTAGGATTTTTCATTGTGGCAGATAGCAGTTATATTTTTTGTAGCGTGTGGTGTGGTCAGGTGCGCGATTGTGACTGTTACTTATAGACCTAGGAGGACAGAGCTCCTCACTTTTTGCAGTTTTTCAAAGAATTGTATTATTATTATAGTTTTATGTATTTTTGATGTTTTTTCGTTGTTGTTTTATAAATGCTCTATGACAATTGTAAAAAATTGTTCAATCAAAACATCGCGTTTTTTTTTTTTTTTTGTCGACTAATCGTTGCGCAGGACAAGACTTTGGTCGACTAAGGATTTCTTTGGTTGACTACAGCCCTAGTAAATATGGCAACCGAGGCTTGGATGCAGGAGAAGATCCACGCACACACCACTGACCTCATTATAGTCCAGTGAAGAGTCGTTGCACAGGGAGCAGACAGTAGCCAGTTCCACTAGACCATCATAATCTCCACACTGCACAGGCTTGTCAGCTTTCAGCCTAAGGGGGAGACAGTTATTGCAAGATAAAGGGATGTAAATGCAAACTAAGTATCCAGAATGAGTATTAGATTATTTGGAGGAGGTAAAAATGACAAGATGTTTTGAGAAGGATCAAGGACTCAGAGTTTGTTTGTGTGTGCTCTTACACTTGTCCCTCCGGAGCATAGGTTGAGCCGGTGATGGTGAACTCATGCAGGGAGCAGCTGGTGTCATCAGCCTTATTAACCACAAACATCTAAGAGAGACAGAAGTGAGATAGGGAGAGAGACAGCATGAGAAACATGGAGATTAACAAAACATACTGCACATCAGGCTTACAAATTCTTTTGGACATTTAATTTCTATGACTTCTTTCCAGTTGTTCATGATTATTGGATTAGGATTTTTGTTTCTGAGATTGCACTCAGAAAATTAAAAAAAATGATATATATTAATACAAATACATTATACATTCATAGTTTTATAAAGTAAACTTAACATTTTGTAAATATATACATTACTATTCAAAGTTTAGGGTTGGGAAAACTTTAAAGTAAAAAAAAAAAGTATCTTATGCTCACCAAGGCTGCATTTATTATAACAAAAATATAATGATACAATTTTTTTCACGATTTTCTGACGATTAGAAAGTTTTTTTTTTTACAATGTGAAAGTCTTTACTGTCCCTTTTGATCAATTTAATGCTTCTGTGCTTAATAAAAGAACTCCAAACTTTTGAATGTAATATAATAATAATAATAATAATAATAATATTAAATATAAAAACAACTGGCCAAATAGGCTGGCAGAAAAAATAAATCTTATTGTTGAGCCTTGTATCCAGAAACAAAATATGTCCACTATAGAAACTTTCATGACTTCAATGTTTTATTCATTTCCAAAACATCCGCAGGCCATGAAAAGTCCATTTTAAAATTCCCTGATATTCCCAGGTTTTCCATGAGGAAATCCTGGCACATAAAGTTCTAAATGCTTATACGTTTACCATTTAAAAGTGGTTCTTGTAATTAAATAAGTTGGAAAAACAAACTCCACAACTGTGCCTAAGAAAACATGGTTAAAAGACGAACAAGAAAATAAGTTCTCCAAGGCATCTGAAAATAGTTACAAACCCCAATTGCATTTAAAAAAAAAAACAGCAGCAAAAAACAGCCACCAACAGACAGTTGTGACTCCACCCAATCAGCTCTGGGGTTTCCCTCATCCCCCGGCCAATCAGAGGCAGAGCAATGATGTCATAATGCACTGGGTAGGTTCCTGTGTTTAGTGGCCTGGCATGAGCTCTTCCCTGTCTGAACCAACACACTCAACACAACTGCCAACAGACAACACAGACTACAATAAACTACTGCCTCCTACTGAAATGTCTGCTTTCAATAGATCAAATGAGGTGAAAAAGAGCAAACAAATAACTTTGCCCATGTTTCAGCAGAGATTTGTCCAATTTTATTATAACTCCAGGTGTTGTAATGTACTGTGTTGTTTAGTGTGCACAACCAAGGCTAAATTCTACTGCATTACTGAAGCAAATGAAGTGTTTCTGATTTTTGGAATCAACACCACAAGTGTTCAAAAAAGCTAAACGACATGAGAGGTGAAGATGAGTTCAGCCTGACAACCTCAGACAAATCGCCAAAACCCATAATGCAATGCTCTAGGATTTATTTGTTTTTTAATGTTTTTTTTTTGTTTTTGTTTTTTTGTCTTTGCTACGACATTCATCACACTGAAACGAGCCAGCAGGAGCTGTGGCAGCCCTGGGCGTGTTTCAGCAGAGAGATCTTATTTTCTCACTATCCCCTTCCTCCAGTATGTGGGCTTAGGGGCAGATGAAACAGGTGGATGGTGGAATGGAACTCAAAGCCAATTTGGCGAACACCATTGATCGCAGTCCCCACCTTTCTGTTTGGATGACAGGTCTGAAATGGAGGTGTGCGCTGGGAACGAGTAAAAATGACTCCGTAAATGAGGTGCCGTAAATGTTGACTATGCAGGTGGACTTGCTGAAATGTGTTTTATCATGATTAAAAGCCACTGCGGTCGAGCTCAAGTTGCATGGACACTAACACACACACACAAACAAACTACCAGAAGTAGGTTCTTATCAATAATGAAGCATCTGAACTTAGACATAGCTAAAACAACACTTGCCAAGCAGCCATGTATGGGCAGTTCCTTAAAAAGAAAATCATACGAAAGGTCGTCTCAAACGTACACAAATGTACAAACATGCAGAGGGAAAAACATCCTCTCTTGGCGTGACTTCACTCACAGCAAGACTCAATTAAATGTGTCTGATTAAAGAATTAATGGAGCAGTGAAGTTGTAAAACTTTCAGAGTTCCACAGTACTCCTGTTTCCTGTTTGAAATGGACACACATACACAAAACTTAAGAGTGGAAAACACAAAGCGAGCGGCAGGCAGCAGCAATCAGAGGGCTGGGTCATGCCCCTAAGCCCTTAAAATAAATGGATTATTGAGTTAGCTTGCTCTGCTGGAAAGAACTTCTTCTTGTCTTCTCAGGCAAAAAAAAAAAAAAAGTCATTATAAAGTAATGACCAAATTATCATAACAACTACTGGAACACAGTGCCATTTCTCTGCATTCGTGCACAAGTACTTTTTACTTCATTAAGCTAACATAAAAGAGCAAATAATTAGATACGCATTTCTGGGAACATTACAGCATGCGATTGCTGCTTTTTAATTGTTGGAACAGTGGGCCAGCTGAATCTAACCACAAGTTACAAAAGCAGCAGGTTCTCTTTTCTGGTAAACACTATTTTTGTGGTCTGCTTATCTGGTCTTTAACTACACAGGAATCTGTGCTGCTCGATTTCCACAGTCAAACACCATGCAAACAGACATTGTCAACTGGAAATAGAAGAAAATTAGACCCAGTTGCCTGCCCACTATCACAATGTACTCTTTGACCTCGGAATGCTTGTCTCTGACATGTTCATTTAGTGAAAAATCTTTGTTTGGTTGTAAGTTCATCTTTAGGTATTTATAGGCCTGCAGATATCACCCCAATAACATGTTCGACAAATAAACCCTACTCTCCATGTATACTTACTGACTTTGTTACTTAATTTTATCATTCTTTGAGTGTTGAACCACTTACCATGGTTTAAAATACAATATTTTAATCCATTCTGCTGAATAGAAGATTTTGCCTCACAAGAATTTAGACTTTTTTTTATGAATTGAGTAAATAAAATGTATTATATTTTGTGCAAAAAGTATTATTTAACACAGACGCAGCCGGATAATTTCCATAATGACCAACGCAATCTACCAAGAGCAGAGCAAATTAGCATCTGGTTTAAGACGTGCTTTTTTGGGTCTTTAAACAAGGGCAGCCGCAAAAATAGCTGTTCGCACTTTTCAGCGCTAATTTTTCACTGCGTGTCTTTAGTAAATCCTGACAGTAGCCTTTTAACGCCAAAAGAGGGGTTGCACTGGCGCAAGCTGTTAGTAAATCTGCCCCCCCCACCCACCCACCCCCACAGTGAGCAGTAATTAAGATGTGACACCCACAATATACTGAAATGTACCAACAAGTAGCAGTGATGCATTAGAAGCATAAAAGAATCTAAAAGGAAAAACATCACGATGAGGGTTGTTGCTAGCCTGCATTGTTTGTTTACAGTCATTTATAAATCAGACCTGCACCAAAAACACCAACAACCATCCCATAACTTGGCAGACAAGGAACTGTGTTGCGATACGTTGTCATAGCAACAGATACCAGGGAACAGGGTAGCATGCAGTGATATGCAATGATGAGCCTCTGATAAGGATACGTGTGTGTATGTTTCACAGGAGTGGAAAATAATTTGACACCTGTATTTCCGCCTGATTTAGCCAAAGTGACTTCCGCTGTTCCGCATTAGTGCCAGTGACACTTGGATGATGTCTGGTCTCCAAAAAGGCACACAGTGGGTTGATTGGCTTAGGCGATCCTGAACAACACTGCGACATAGTGACAGCACTAATTCCAAACCCAGGATAAGCATCTTGTCTGTCCCTATAATAAGCCTCTCAGCAGAACGCTTTTAGTACTTAACATTACGAGGCACAGGAGGTTTAACAAAATGTTGAATCCATTTGGGACACATTTCCACAAGCTCAATTTTAAAATTCTGTCTTGCATGTGAAATGTCTTTTCTTCCTTTTCTTTAGGGACTCTTTAGGTGATTTTGTCACTGCTTCAGGCTGAGGCTGACATTGTTGCCTGTTCCCCACTGGGGAGTATGAGATTGGTAAAAAATGAGCAACAATAAAACAGACATGTATTTAACTCTGCTTCTAAGTTGAAATTGGCCTCAGTTTGTTTGCAGAACCTTTATATGTACATGTCTCTTTCCTATGTTCATATGTGATGAAATTTGGTAATGTCTAATATTAATTAATATTAATGGAAAAGGAAAATCAAAATAAGGACTACTGTGTCCAAAATAAAGAGTAATTTAACACAAAAGGCACCTAGTACAACAATACAGTACGTTACAGTGAATAGTCCGCATTAGGCTTTCTAAACACGTGTGTCCGTGACTCTGCATCCATTCTTGGATCGTGCTGCAGCGGGAGCAGACGCAAGGAGCGTGAGTGGCATAAAAATGAAGAATTGCAGGCGGGAATCCCTAGCTGGGTAAGATGCTGAAGACCAAGGTATGAAGGCAAGAGGATGAGAAGAAAAAAGGCTATCAGACACAAAAGTCCAGCCTGGACGAATAAAAGCAGGCAAAGCCAAGATGTAGCTGTAATGTATGACCTACAGTAAGTCATAATCAGCCAGCCCAGTGCCCACCACACCGTAATCCTGCTGACAAGAGAAGCGAGAAGCAAATCCATATACAAAACATGAAAAATCTAATATTTTTCTATACAAATCCATAAATATTTATCTACATATATTTACAGCATAATAAAAAAGTGAATGGGGTTTATTTAGCATTTATTGTCCCTGCTGAATAAAAGTATTAAAAGGATCATGAACTGCATTTAAAAAAAAAAAAATCAGCATTTTACATAAAAAAACATCCTAATTTAGAAGTAATAGGCTATTTCCTATGCTGTTTTTGAGCTTCTCCTTGAAACAGTTTTTATGGCCTTGCCGCATCCAGAACTTGGAAGTAAAACCCTCATTGCTATGATTGGGTAACAGTTTTGCAAATTAAAATAATTTTCAAGGTTCCCGCAAATACACGTGTGGAATTGTTTTGAAAACATCCGATGTTGAAAAATAGCAACCGGTGAAATTCAGCCATACAAATTTGAGCCAGAGTCTGATCGTGAATTAGAAAGACAACGAACCTACACCTCAAATACACAGGATACTCCGGTCTGCGACAGCGTTGTAATTAATCATCTTTATGTTGTATTTCCTTACATTATATTAGCGTTGAAACAAAGACAGAAAGGTGTTCATCTCGTTACAACATTTTGCCAACTGTGAAACATTTATGCGTATTAAATATGCTTTATAAGTCTTGGTTATGGCAAATAAAGTACTTGGAGTTACCACAGTTATAGTTGACAGGAGAACTTACAGTGTTTCTTGTAAACAAATTATGAATGGATGAATGAATAAATGAACATTGTTTGTTGCACTGTTGTTCTTGTATTCATCGCTCACCATTTTCAGTAAAGTGAAAGTAAAGGAAGTAACATAATTCAAACAGCCTGTAATAGGCAATATGTAAACTAGCAATAGTGACACATGGTAAAAACATTGTTACTCACATTTGTGTGTTGCGACATTCAATATAGTCTGCACTGCATTGTTTATTTATTTATTTTCAGTCTCTCCGAAAAGCCTGAACTGTGTCTTGCTTAAAAACAAATTTGCGGTAAAATGAAACGAACATGAGCCATGTCTTACTGACACGATTTGGAACTTCTTTAAAAAAAGTTCATCCACGCTTTTTTGATGTTAGGATCACAAGGAATGCAAAGACTCTGTTTTTCCACAAATGGCAGTGCAAAACGTCTTGTAATCCTCAGAGGAATCTCTATGGTTTTGTTGCTGGAGTAATCCTGTTTGTGTCTCTCTCGTATTTCCTACTACATGACGTGTGAATCGGTGAGTGGGGCTAAAGAGGCAATGATGTAGAAGTAGTCGTCGTTTTCTTTCATCAAGCTATGATGTCATACTGAGACAAAATCTAAAACGAGTCATTTTGGGACCTTGGTTTCAATAAAAGCTGTTTTTAGACTAACAAGGAAGTTTTGAGTTACTTATAGGATTTTGAAGGATTCCTGCAAAAAGGTTTTTTAAGGAAATTAATTATTTTATTCAGCAAGGAAATATTCAATTAAATCAAAAGTGATTTGAAAAGGGACTTTTAATAGTTACAAATAATTAGATTTAAATAAAGACTGTTCTTTTGAAGTTTTGTATGCTTAAAAAAAATATATCACGGTTTCCACAAAAATATTACACAAGTAGCCTATATGGCTTTTTTGATAATTTGGTCTGCTGGAATTGAAAGTCTATTACATAACTGTATGTAAGCCTGAAAGGAGTTTGAGTTTCCAAGATACAGATGTACCTTCTTAATTTAAAAAGTCTTTTCACTGAGGATCCCCTTGAACAGGATGTATTAGATTTATACTAGGTTTAATATGTGTCCAGGAAACACTCATCACTCATCATGTAGAGCTGGTAAAGTGAATGTTGTGGTGTTTGACTACAGTGCTCGCCCTTAATGTTTGAGCTCTGATCGTTGCAGGTCTGGTATCAGGGCGCGGAGTGAGTAAATATTTACCACAGCGCAGTGGGACTCTTTCCGGAAGGTCCCCGGCACTTGCAGGGAATTAAGCAGTTTCTGAACAGAGGGAACACCCTGCTGTCAAACACAGGAGAGACCTCGGGCAGACACACACAGATGGACGTTTGCATGTGCTGTGGGGCTTTGCAACAAGGAATATAACATATAACATAGGCTTCCTGTGTAAACACGGAAAACAAGGGTGGAGCTCACAATGGAAATGTTAGGGGCCACTTTAATACTGTGCAGTAACACAGAAGAGAAAAAAAGATGTGAGATGACTTTAATATTTCAATCATGATTTTCCTATTGAAATCCTAAAGGTCACAAAACTAGAAGCGGGAGATGCAAGGAGGCTGATAAATGAATAAAAAGGGTGGGAGAGGTACAGATGCTGGAAAGAAAACAAAAAATACATTCTCCAAACCTTTCCTGCTCTCTTCTTTTGAAATAACATGGGCATGAAATACGCAGGGACAAAATGGTACTATATTTGAAAATATAAATATATGAATAAAAGGCCTGAACTCTGACTATATTGGAAAATATAATGTAACAGATTTTGCAATCATGTCCTGCCAACCTGTCTGTACAAGTTTAAGATTTTCCATTGCGCACAAACAGAAACATACACCTTGAGTGTCCCAGGGTGTCTCAGAGTGACTTGATGTGTCCTGACTCTCCGGAAGCAACAACATAAAAGGGACCACAGCACTATAAATAAATGTTCCAATGTTGCAAATATGCCCATCACTTCAAAACCCAGAATGGTGGTGACGAATGGATGTAGCATGTTCAAACTCTCCTTCGTTAGGAGTAGGACAGTAGAAAATCTCAGTAATAATATGAACAGCTTTTAGGCCAGAGTGATGGCACTGAAGTACAGCTACAACACCTTAAAACACAAGTACTTATGCTTGCCGTTCTTAGTTGTGCTGTGAGTCAGGTTACATTGTGTGTCTCTCTCACACACAGACACAGACACACACACACACACAAATAAGGGTGGCACAGTCATGCAAACACAAACTTGGACACTTGAGTTTCTCTCTTTAGAGAGCATGAAGGTATGACAGTGGGATTAAATTCAATGGAAAACAAGTTCACGGTTCAGTGGTAGGGCTTATGGGTGTGATTGGGTTAACCAGATCAAGACTTGGATCAAGAAGCTTTAAGCTGAAGTGTGTGCTTTCCGCACCATTAGCAGCACCAAATACAACTACTGTTTTCACACTGGTTTCCCAAACACTACCATTGGACAAACATGTAGTCCTGCCCTAAACAGAGCAACATTATAATCCAGAATACGTTTAAAGCTACCAACATTCTCTCAAAAATCTGAGATGAATTCCAAAGTGAATTCATAATTCAGTGATATTACAAAACTATAACGGACCTATTATAATCTATAAGGTGGTCTATTGTGCTTGCACTTCAGATGCAACCCGGTTTAAATAATGATACGTTTTGATACGTAGGTTCCTTTATTACAATGGGTATACAAATGCATACAAACTGCTTGTTTCCCAGTGGTGTAAAGTATTGGAGTAAATTTAATTAGTAACTGTACACAAGTATTTTTTTTGGCTACTTTGTAGTTTCACTGAGTATCAAATATATTATCAACTTTTACTCTCTACTTGAGTACATTTTTGAATAAAGTAAATGTACTTTTTACTCCAATACATTTGTGATGAGTAATGCAATTACTCGTTACATTTTGCACGGCACCTAACTTTTTCTTCAGCAGTTTCTCTCTGTTATAAAGAAGCGATATCGCAGTCTAAGGGCAGTGAAGGAACAATATCTGTGTGTTTTGCCTTTACTCACCCAAACTTGTCAACAAGGCTACTTTACGTGAATGCGAATATACATTTCCTTGTTTTAAAATGTTTTACTTTGGTGCTCCTACAAGGACCAACGTGAAGTTGGCTATTTAGAAGGTGGTCCAATTACTTTATGTATTGATGTAAAAAAAAGAAAAATCAGAATGATACAGAAATTGTGATCGACTTTTCTCATTGTGCTGAATATTTGAGTGAAACAGGTTCTCTGGCAGGATTTGAAAACTGATCTGGAATTGATTGGGTGATTTTCGTTATGCTAATGGATGATGTCATGTGTGAGTGACCGATTGCTGGAGGGGATGGATTATTGCGCAACCCTCGGGCTGATGAACACGTCATGAGAGGAGAGATATTGCTGCAAGGTGATGTAAATGTTTTTGATGAAAGATTACAAGGGCACATGAATAAAAAAAAAAAAAAGTTCACTGATAAATCTTTTAGATTAAAGACAATATTCCATAAAAAAGAAGTATTGTCAATTTTGACTTCTCAGAGTAGCCTATACGAAGAATAAGCTATGCTGTTGCTCTACACAAAATAAAAGAACATAAAAAATAAATGTCTAAAACTTTTTGATTGATTTGGCTCTGGATTGCTATCTGACCAGTCTAGTAACTCTCTTTCTCACCTCTCATGTTGTGCCTGGTGTGTTTCTATGGTCTTCCATATGGCAGCCAGAGAGAGCTGCTACTGTTGCATCATTCAACTCCGTATGAGAGGCCTTGGCAAGGCATCAAAGACTTGCTCTTATGGTAAACACCACTATAGTGCAGGCCTTGAAACCCACCTGCCAGAGCTCCAAAAACCACATTAAATGGCACACACCACAGGTCTGGAGTCAGTGAGAAAGAATTCCAAGATGTGGTAAAAAGGAATTTATAAGACGCAATCTGGCCTCAAGGGTCCCCCCCTTTTTTTTAAGGGGTATTCCTCAGGTGAATCTATCATGAATTTGAAAATAAAATTCAATTTTTAGGGAGAACTCCAATGCCTCGCTTTATGACAGTTTGAAATATGTTCTAGCTCTGGTTATAGCAAGCAATAAATCACCTCTTGTGAATGTACAAATAAAAAAAGAGGTTCAAAATCTGTGCTGTTTAAGTTATATATTAAAAGAAAAAAAGCTCACATAGGACCATATGTCAGCATAAGACTGCGAATGAAAAACGAAGCTGTCATCAACCCAGACATAAAATCAAAATCTGCCCGCAGACATCAGTTCTGATGCTGAATGAGACACCATCTCTGCGTCTGACTCGAACAGCCACATCACTCACCCTGCAGACAGACATCTGGTTGGTCGTCAAGGTCCCAGTCTTGTCAGAGCAGATAACGGAGGTGCATCCCAGCGTCTCCACCGAGGGCAGTGAACGGACAATGGCGTTTTTCTTGGCCATACGACGGGTTCCCAGTGCCAGGCAGGTGGTGATGACAGCTGGAAGACCCTCCGGGATAGCAGCCACTGCCAAGGCCACAGCTATCTTGAAGTAGTAGATGGCACCTCGGATCCATGAGCCGCCGTGGACCGGGTCGGCGAAATGGCCGATGTTAATGACCCAAACGGCGATGCAGACGAGGGAGATGACCTTCGAGAGCTGTTGACCGAACTCATCTAGCTTCTGCTGCAGCGGAGTTTTCTCCTGCTCAGTTGACGCCATCTGGTTACGGATCTTACCGATTTCAGTGGAAACACCGGTGGAGATGACAATACCGATGGCTCGACCCGCAGCGATGTTTGTGCCCTTTCGGAAAACATAAGAACAGGCATATTTAAGCATATACACATATACACCTAAATGAAACAAAGCCACCAAAGACCTTTTAAATCTAAATGAATACTTTTGCAGACTTGGAAACAACAGCATCAGATGTTCCTCAGTCTCATATAATTTTATAAAACGTAGCTTGGAAAAGTCATTGACTTGTGTAGAGTTAGCTACAATCTCATTAGCGACATTTTCCCCTGATAGGAAACTACATCTTTCATTACCACGATGAGTTGGAAAATGCATTAAGCTGGACTATAAAAGCACATGGGCCATATACAGCTTATTTTAAATGACTAAAGAAGAAAACAGGGAGACTGCATTAACTCTGATGTTATACTATCACTCACTAGGCCAATAACGTCACCTGAGGTGTTCCCTATCCCCAGATGATATTAACGCAATCTAAGTGGATTGAGAGCGGTAAAATGCATGCCTACTTAGAGCATCTGAATGACCGCAATTGAACGCAGACAGGAAGAGTAAGTTTAGACTGAGTGCACGAACAGAATACTTAAGTCTTATTATATCCTACAGTCTAATGACATCCTCCAAATTAGAGATACAAAAAAACAGGACAGAATAAAAAAAAGACACAAAGAAAGAAGACCAACTTATTGCTTATATGCAAATATACTACTTATTATATGCACATGAAAAGTTCCTCTCCCAAAACAGGAAGTGAAGTGCTTACAGAAAACAGCATGTTCTTTTTGTCTTGATTGACAGCTCGAGGATCTGGCACGGGATCAGTGTGTTTGATAATAGACACAGATTCACCTAAAGGACACACAGAAAGTTTTAAATAAAGCAATACTGGGAATTGGGTAGTGACAAACGCTGTTTATCTCAGACGTCCACAGTACCTGTGAGAATGGACTGGTCCACTCTTAGGGTGGTGGATTTGATTGATGTGATCCTAATATCTGCTGGCACTTTATCCCCAACTAGAAAACAAAATGGGTTTAGAGTTACTTCATCAAAAGGCAGGCAAAGATACTCCTACGTTACTGTTGAATGCATGACATATTGAAAAAAGTGTGTAGGACATATGCCTGAGGGGTCATAACTGCAATCATAAACAGGATATAAGACAGGCCACTGCACAGCCATCATTCAAGGCTGTTCTTGACCTCTTGTTTTCCAGGTAAACACTTAATTACAACAGATCGAAGCTGAACTACTAGGACACAAAGCCTGAAGCAAAGCGAAAAAGTGACTGAAACAAATAGAAAGAGAGAGCAAGAGAGAGAAACACCACCTCGAAGACTAACTGCAGACACACTGGAACACCGTTCGATACCCAGTTGATGAGAGCACACAGAGTGATCAATATTCGGTTCATGCTTCTAATAAAAAAAATAAAAAAGGCGCTTGAGGTGGGAAAAACGTAGCCAGTTGGATGAAACAGAATCAGTCAATATGTGTCGTTTTCAACTGGGTTTTGAGAGTCCTTGCAGCCAATTAGGCTTTAAGCAATACATATTTTGTAGTAGCTTGGGTTAATGAACCTTTGTTCTTTCCTACCTTACTCCAGTCTTCAGTGTCACATGATCCTTCAGAAATCATTCTAATATGCTGATTTGCTGCTCAAGAAACATTTCATATAATCAATGTTGTAAAAAGTTGTTCTGTTTAATATTTTCATTCAAACTGAGATACATTTTCTTTAGAACGAATAGAAAAAAAAGTGTATCCCAGAACTTTCTCTTTTGAATATAAGTTCATAAGAGCATTTATTTAAAATAGAAGTCCTTTGTATTTACTGTCACTTTTGATCAATTTAATATGTCCTATAATACAATAAAAGTATTAATATATATATTTTTTTAAACGTACTGACTCCAAACTTTTGAACAGTAGTGTACTGTATATACTTTCAAATACATAATTAAAAATAATATTTAAATAAATATGATTTTTAATAAGTCTCAATAACCTTTTTCCATGTTCAAAACCATTTTACAGGAACTAAAGAAAATAGTGTGCAGTTTCCATGTCTACCTATAACCCTGCAGCTGGGTGTCAGTGAACTTGCAAATTCTCATCCCCATGTCATATAGCTCCTGGACCAGGACAGGCTGCAGGGGCACTTAACAGGCATTTTAAAGCAATTAGAGACCCTTAGTGACATAATTATACTCCATTTAAACCCTCAGGCTGAGCTGGAGGTGCCTGGGCATGCAAGAGAGCAGCCACACTTCCCATTAGTCTTTTACACACTGCTAGACAGATAGTGGATGAGTGGCCTGGAAAGTGTAGAAACTCTAAAAGAGTTTGGGATATCGACAAATTGTTTTGTTAGTCAGAGTCACGTGATCTTGCATAACACTATCATGTACAGTAAAATATATCTTCACCCTATTTCCATTTTTTTCTTTTTTTCTGCTCCAATCCTCTGGGCACAATTTCTCAGCCGAACAGTCTCTCTTCCTCCAACGTCACAGGAATGGCTCACATCAGCCTGGGGGTTTCTGTGGTGGGAGACAACACCCCCATCAGGGGCTGTTCTGTGTGGGAGAGGGGATAGAGAGGGCACGGTGGGCGGGAAACTGTTTATGCTCCCAGAACGACGGACCTTTCTTTTCTCATTCTTGGATTTTATCGCTCCCTCTCTCCCCCCTCAGCGGTGTCTCCCACCCACTCAGTCACACTGCGAATGGGTACTGAACCCATCTAAATGCTAATGCGAGCAGCTTTACGCCATACCAAGCCAGAACAATGCAAAGTGAGCTAAATATACACAGACATTATGACAGTAGATGGCAAGCATCTGATATCAGGAAACAGGCCGCACGGACATCGGGCATAAACCTGATTAGAACGGGTGACGCATGCTTACTTGTAAATGTGGGACAGTGTAATAACAGAGGATGGTGAGTTCAAGATGTTTGCGAATGCTGATCAAAAAGGTCCAAAAGCCTGTGGGTATGACTAAAAGATGATCGGGCTAAAGTGAATTCCTTTTAAAACACAGAGTGGATGCTGCTTCACTGTTACTCATCCCAAAGAGAGTGAAACAACAACTGAGTTCTTTCAAAATCTCCAGGCATTCTGTAAAGCCCCATTCTGGTTCATCGGATATTATAATGGAGTGAGAATGTTATTTTTGAATCTCCGAAACAGCTGAGGGAAAGTTCCACTTCGGATATTGTGATTACTGCAACCATAATGATGGCACAATGCTGGGCTGACTGGAAATAAAAGTGTAAATAATCTATGAATATCTATATTACTCATGCATGCAAAAAAAATGGCTAAACTGTTTTCCGACCTCCAATTCTATTGGTGGTGGTCCACAACAAAAGTTCCGATAGAATAGCCACTCACGAATGGCGGGTACAGGAAAGAACTTTGCTGCGAGGATAGCCATTTGTTTTGAATCTTTTTTTGGCTGTAGTTGCCAATTTATAGTTCTCACAAGTGCCCTTTTCCAATGTGTAATTTTCATTCAACCTCTGGAGAAAGTGGAGTTTTTAGGTAGGGGTTGTTGCGTGTTTGTTTACACATGTTTGATAGTGCTTAGCAACAAGATTATGTCATTGTTGCAGCCGGGTTAGACAGAAATTGAGAAATATATCAGCAGATGCAGCTGACAACACCTCTGTCCTGCCAGTGCTTCCCACTTACCGAACAGGACTTGTTAAATGCTACGACTATAACCAATGAACTCAGCACAAGCAGCTCAGCATGTGTGTGAATGTGTCTGCACCTCGTTAGTGGATTCTCATAGCTATAAACCTGTGGATGAATCTTGAACCTCAGAGCCATCTCCCTTTCCCCCATTGCCCATTATGACAAAGTGCAAAAGATAAATAGAGTGCCAGCCGTTTCCACCCTCACAGACCTCTGGAGTGGAAACACAGGAGGTGCTCTTCTCCCCTTGGACCAATTGTTTCGTTTTTGTTCAGCTTGCAGGTTGGGAAGTGCTCAAGGCTTCAGGAAGAGGAAAATGCCAAAAAACTAACTCGCAAGCCAAAAATATCAATCAATCCAGCCATGATGTTTAACTATATAGCAGCAAAAATGAAAAGAGTTTGTTCAAAATGTATTTTTGAGGCCATAATCCCCAGATAGAATGATCCCCTTGTGAAGGAAATATAAAGCCATTATATAAATATTGTTTTTCAACATATTTATTATAATAATAATAATAATAATAATAGTTGTTTCTTACATGAAAATCTGATTTGCTGTCCTTTCCAGGTTCAAACCAATTCGGTCGGCCTCTTTTTTGTTCAATTTCAGTTGCGTTTGCTAGTTATCTCTGTCCACAGTTACATCTCATTGGTCCTAATTTAAATCCTGTTTATTAAATTCTGTATATTAAACATCAAATATGGTTGGATTGGGTGTGGTTTTGTGGTACAATCTTGGCTTTCAGGAAGGACAGAAACTTGATGCTGGAAACATCTGGACTGACAGTGATGCCTGTTACTTTACAGTACATGTCTGTCAGTTTGACCTTGACATGGGAGGGACTCTGGGACTTGTTACCATGGTCACATACCCAATAGGTGTCAGAGGGTGAAGCCTGACAGCGTGAGCGTGTGTATGTGTGCAGAGAGGAGAATCCGGCCGCTGGAATGCAGGCTTGTCAAGGCATAAGACCAAACAGTGCAAATGAACAAAGAGACGCCTGTTACCACCGTGCTAAGACAGGTAATGTAACCCACATCTCATTCCTATCTCTTCAATTCCACTTCTCTCTCTCTCTCTCTCTCTGCATCTACCCGCATTTATTGCTCCCTCCCGCTCATCTGTCTTTCATGCTTTCGCGCTCTCTGTCTCCCTCACACATTCTGTATCTCTCCGTACTCTCGTTCCCTTCAACACCCACACCAGTCTCATCTTTGACTCTCTCACTTTCACCTCCATTCACAAGCAAACGAAGCGATGTGGCTGCATCCATGTTTCTGAATGAATGCGGCTGCTCTTAAACATGAATTGGAAAATCTTGTGGTATAACACAGAGATTATTAGTCTGATCTTTCATTTGTTTTCACTGTAATAGTGAAAAGCAGTTGATCATCCCCCTCCTCTTTGTCATCTCCTCTTCTCCACACTTGGCTGATGCAGACTGGAGATCATTAGCATGCAGGGTTTTAAAGAAGCAAACACGGATTACTTTGAAGCCAAGACAAGCAAATTTATATGTGCGCGTGTGATGCACACAGGTCTACTTTGATCTCAGCGTCTACATATACACTGGCAGGATCCCCAATTTAGAGTGGGCACATATGTATGTGTGAGGGAGTCACTGCAGTCACATGAAGGTGGAGAACGGTGGGACTGACAGTATGGAAACAAAAGGAAGGCTACATATTCAACAAGAGGTAAGAGAGAAAAAAAGACTATAGTCACTTTTCAGCTTTGCACTATAAACAGAATACGTGCACACACACACACACACACACATTTTTTCCTGCATGTCTCTGCTTGGCACCCTCATACTCACAGGAAAGCCACTTACATAATACAGTCTGGGATATTCCTCCTCTGCTTTCAAGTTTATGGCAAGGAGCCCAAACACACACACACATACAGAGAGAAACCCTGAAGGGCTCCTGTTCAGGGCAAAGAGTTGTGGTGAAACATATAAACATACACTCTGGGCAGCCACACAAGCCAATGGGAAGACTGGGGAAAACGACAGCCTGTGTTTGTGTGTTTTGGGTACAGTGAGAGGTGGTGATGACTGGAAGAAGAAGAAAAAAACCTCCACTGCGTATTATGTCAGACCACGTGGGTAAATGGACAGAAGAAACCTCAAAATGCCCACAGGACCCAAGACGGGGGATGTGGTGAAGTATGTGTATTGTTCCACAAACATCATCTCTGCAGATTCGAGTCCTTCTCATTACACAAAGGAAGAGACTAAGAACAGATGGCGTATTATCAAACGGACAGAGAGAGAGAGAGAGAGAGGACAAACCAGAGGGTATTCTGTTAGAAATGAAGAGAGAGAGAAGAAACAGGCCGAAACTTACCAGAAACCTCCACGATATCTCCAGGCACAATGTCTCGAGCTTTGATCCTCTGGACGGCCGTGCGGTTCATGCGGTAAACTTTGCCCATCTCTGGCTCGTACTCCTTTAGAGCCTCGATGGCGCTCTCTGCATTTCGCTCCTGACACCATACAACAAACCACAATAGTATCAGGAAGGATACACATGTAGCGCATTGGTAACAGCCCATATTTCATTGGTCTGATTAGGGTAAAACAACAGTAGCCTGCTCTTGTTTTCAATGTCAGGTTTAAAACATAAATAAAAAGTTATCTATCTCTTCTGCTGTACAATGTGATAATGTTCTGATAGTAAGGCAAAAAAAAAATGGAAATAAAAATATATAATATTACAATTTGTAAAATTATTACTATAATATAATTTGTAAACAAAACAAAAAAACTAATAATAATAATAATAATAAAAAGAAAAAATGTATATGAATAAAAAAATAAACCATTGTCCATCATATCAGATGCAAGCTGCAGCATTCAGTATCAGACAAAATTTCGACAGATGGGTATATTTATATATATATATATATATATATATTATAATCCAATGCTAATCAACATAGCCTTTATCACAGTACAGAATACTACAAAATAATATATTTTCTGCCTTATTTTGTAATAAGCCACATGGGATCACAGAAAGTTATTTCTAACACTCTGCAAAAACATGGTTATAATCTAATAAACTGTTATGTTTTTATTGCTGTAATAAGCTAACACGCTAGCTAGCCCTCAAGCACCTGTTACCAGGATCAATTATGTTTTATGACTAATTTTGAAAAGTAAAGATCTTTGGAATGTTTCCTTTTTTTATCTTAAGGGCATTTGATACAAAGCCAAAGGTGGTGAAGTTACAAGCTTGATCAAGGAAATAATGGATTTTTGAATAGAAAGTCGCAGGTAAATATAACAAAGACAAAAGAATAATAATTAGAGGCATATCTTGGCCGGAGAGGTGTGAATGTGTGCAGGGGAGACTGGAACTGAATGGGATAGACTGTATCAATAGACTGAATGGATGCTTAAAAGACGTGAATAAACATCAGTTAGCATTTTAGAGTCTTCTCTAAATTAAATTACATGAAAAAATATTTAATAAAACTCTGAATTTTAGTTATCTTCGTATTAGAAATAAAACATGATCAGGATGCATTGTTTTACTAGACTGCAACAAGGCCAGTTTCATATTTATTTCCCATAAAGACATTTCCTACAAAGAAACTTCTAGTAACTTCACAATACATTTAAGCCCTTTCTAAGTTTTTATTTTTATGACAATAATTCATTCTGACTTGATGAATGTCTGATTTCACACTTATACTTGTACAAGGGCTTCATGAACTGAATATATTTCAGTTTGGATATGTGATTTCTTCATTTTTTTGTGCACAAGCTAACAATAGCAGGAGACAGCAGTGGACTGCATTGACAGACAGTGCTAAGAGATGCATCTCTGTCAATGCAGTCCACTGCTGTGTCCTGCCATTGTGGTATACATGTAAATTTCATGACACAGATCCTTATGTACACACTACTAAACTAATATGAACACCTGATAATCATCTGTCATGTTTGGGAACAGAAGACCTTAATAGTAGTTGTAGCATATCTAATGCTAAACAGTGAGACATCAAGCAGACTCGCTGTTCTGACATTACTCATTGAGAAGAATTTCTTTGAGGTCCTTCAGTTTCTCAGCCCACACGCACCCACCTGCCAGACTCCAATGACTGCGTTGGCCACCAGAATGAGCAGGATGACAATAGGCTCCACGAAAGCTGTGGTCGACTCCTCCCCATCCTCAAACAGTGCCAACACCTAATGAACAAACACAACATAAATTACTCCTACCTCATATTCAAAGCTCAGTTCTGTTCAGGTTACTGAAGTGAGAATTAAAGTATTTAATAATATTTTTTTTTTTTATGGGGGATTTTTTATACACAGTACACACACACTACCGTTCAGTTTACTGTTCCGCTCACTTTCGTAAGAAATAAATTAATACTTTTATTCAGCAAGGATGCATTGAAATGAGCAAAAGTGTCAGTAAAGACATTTATAATGTTACAAAATGTTTTTAATTTCTATTTCCATTTCTGAAGACTGAAGTAATGGCTGCTGAAAATTCCGCTTTGCCATCACAGGAATAAATGACATTTTACAATATATTCAAATAGAAAACTTTAAATTGCAATAACACACAATAAAAGATCAAATAAATGCAGCCTTGTTGAGCATAAAAGACTTCTTTCATAAATATTAAAAAAGTCTTATGTTGGCAGGGAAATTAAAGTATTAGAACTAATAAAGTACTGAAAAAAGCCCTTGTTGAGCCCTGAGGACCCGTCAGTACCGCTTTTAAATAAATAGCTAGTACAATAAACATCAGGCTCTGTCTGTTATGAAACAAGACACTGGATCATTCCACACCCATTACAAATATTCCAGTGAAATCATGCCATCAGGTACATGCCTCGGGAAGATATGTGGGAGTTCGGGCCGGGGTGGGAGGCATTTCCAGAAAAATCCTGAATTACCTTAAAATATTTATGTCTAAAAGCAGCAATATGCATGATAGGGAATGGAATGGAATGTGACGGCTTGATTTTTACAGATTGCAGAGACGGCCTTGAAGTTCATTACTTTCTGACAATGTTGATCTGTTCAACTTCTCATCAGAGATAGAAACTCCAGAAAAGCTTGGCGCGAGTTGACCTAAAATACTTGTTCAATGGCACTACAAGCAACAAATTTCTTTAAAAGGATAGTTAGAGGCAGCTAAAAACTGATTTTGAGTTTTGTGGATGTCTTGAAAAAAGACAAAAATGAGGGGGGGGGGGGGGGGGGGGGGATAGAGGGTGGAGGAGAAATAACAAAAGATGAAAGAGGGGCTAAGTAGTTTGACCATAAATACACTAATAATTGCATGAACTTTATGTACTTTATACAGTCAAGTTTGCGTGTTGTCCTCCACTCTTTCATATCATGCATTCATACGACACACTCTCTCCTTCCACCAAATTCTAAGCAACTTCAATACAGATCAGTCAAAGAGCGGTCTGTCTTTAACCTTTCATTACAAACTGATAAGGATACTTTAGAACACTGAGTAACCGTGAAATAAGATGGGCAGGCGGATGATGGGGGAGAGAATGAAGAGACCAGAAATAGTCAAAGAGGTGGAATGAGAAAGTGATGGAGAGCAAAAAGGATCCCATAAAACAAAACGGGTGGAAAGATGACAATTACTGAAATATTGAGGAAAGCCACACAGATGAGCAGCTTAGAGTTTAGATCACAGAGCTCAGCTAAATCCTGTCAAGTCATGGCTCTAGTCCAACTGAGGTCTATTCACTCATAAATATCAGTAGACTGTAGATCCTCTTTGCATTCCCTCAGTTTTTACACTTCAAACAGAATACAAATTGACTGACTAGATCATTTCAGCTGACAAACAATGGCATTTAGTTTGAACATTTGAGCAAAATGTGGATGTTTTGAAAAATGTCTGTTTTTTTTGTCCATTCAGTGAAAGTCATTGTTTAGAACCCTACTGACTTTCACTGTATGAGCAAAAACAGCTGAAACATTCTTTAAAAGTATCTTCTTTTGTGTTCCACAGAAGAGAGCAAGTCATACAGGTTCTTAATTAGCTGTGGTCAAATGGTCAAAATGATCCAGTCATTGTCATCTTCAGATCAGTTTAACCATTGAGCACAAAGTGACTGACCAAGAATATCACTGACAAAGAGGAAATTGAGGTTTCAACTTCAACTTCACTGTTTTTGAACTTAGTAATGTAAAAAGTGTAGTGAATATAATACCACAAACAATACAATGAATGTTTTCATTCATTCCATGTTTAAAACAATAAAATGTTTTCATGCCATCATTACCTAAAAGCTTTTCATAGTGACCAAAATATCAAGTTACTTTATTCAAGTTACTTTATTTGTACCCGAAGGTAGATTTTGTTTTCAGTAGAGTCCTCATACGGAAAAACAAAGAGAACACACATCACACATCATTTAAACTTAAGACTCCAAAATTTGGAAATGACAAAAAAAAAAAAAAAAAAAAAAAAAAAAAAAAGTTATTATCGGTCCAGAATAGATTAAACCACATAAAAGCAATAATAAAATAAATAAAACACATGTGCAAAGTATAGTTATGACTTATTCCTCAGTGTAATGGCTGCAAGAACAAAACTGTTTTTGTGTCTTTTTGTTCTACAACTAGGGATTATAAACCTTTACCATTTAAATACAGGAAGTCTATCCATTGCCCAGGTGACCATTTCTCTGATGATGTGCAGTAAATGACATTATACTGATGTACACTCTGCCAGAGATCTGCTGAAGCCGCAACTGATTCTACGGAGATCTCTGTACACCAGGAATGTGCAGACAAGATAACGTAGAGATACACAAGAAGTAGGAAGAAATGGCTGAAATGAAAGAAGGAAAAATGAACGATGACAGAAAAGGAATGAAAAGCTCATCAAGACAGAAGTAATACAGCTAATTAATCTGAAATGAACTGAAATGAAAATAGGCAACCATTTTGGGCATCTTGGGACCAGCAGTCGCATGGCTGCACATGTAGATCTTTTTGTTTCCATCCAATAGCTTTCATTCCCAGCACGTGCTGTTCTAGGATGAGTCAGGCTACCATACCCTCATAATAACACTTCTTTCAAAAAACAAAATATATTTTTTTTAAAACACAACATTTTTGTCTACACGTCTCTCCCCCGTCGCTTAGATACCAAGAGCTTTGTTCACATAACATGCAAAAAAGTCAGGAAAGCTGAATGCTAAAGATTTTAATATATTCAAACAGGCACACAAATGAGTTCCAAGACTGGGCTGATCTCCCCGGAGTATTTCCATTGCACCATAGCATTTGACCAGCAGACAAACACACGCACACTGCTTTCTGGGAGGTCTAATGCAATATTTTTATCAATTTCAAGTGCTCCGCAGGATTCCAGTGGTCGGAAGACTGGTGCTCGCCTCATAGAATTTAACCACGGTTAAGACAAAAGTATTGATGAAACACACAATGATAGATGCTCCAAAAGCTGATGTACTTGAGGGAAGACTGAGTGCAGATGTATGGAAACAAAGAGCATAAAGACCACAGGAGCTAATGTGTTTTTGCAGAAAAAAAACATAAGAGTGTCTGACTATCCGTTCCACTGCGTGTGCACACTCATGTTATATTACTCTCACAGAACGCCGGGAGGCTGATGAGGTTTGACAGTGGCCCTTGTTGCTACTTGAAGTCAGACGGAAAGTTCATAAAAAGGTAAATTCATAAAAGCCAATAAGAGAGGAGCATGATAGACTGAGACTTTTACCCTGGGCTTTAGAAGATATATGCTTTTGCTGTTTAGGATTAGCTTAAAGTGGATAGCAGTCTACTGTCCCTCTACACAGGTAATGTTTGGCTCAGGGTAATTTGATTTAATATTACCTTTTTAGATCCAATAAGAAAACCAGATCAGTTTAACAAGTCAGGCTCATGGAAAGTCTGAAGTCAGAACCACAGCTACACAATCAATTTGTCACAGCATAAGGATAGTTTATCTACTATACATACATACTATATAAATTAGAATGATTTCTGGCAGATCATGTGACACTGAAGACTGGTGTAATAACTGCAGAGAATTACATTTTTAAATAAAAATAAAATAGAAAGCAGTTATTTTGAATTTATAATATATTGTTTGATCAAATAAATGCAGCATTGGTGAGCATAAGAGACTTTTTTCAAAGACAAAAATCGTACTGCACACAAACCTTCGAACGGTAGTGTATATTATTACAAACAAGTTATTCTAAATATGTTTAGCTGTGGTTCTTTTACTGGGATGAATTTTTAAAAAGTATTTCTCAGAGAGGATTTCAGCGAGCTGAGAGGGTGTTAGACTGCCAAATTTTGAACATATCTTATACAAAGAATTATATCTGACATAACACTATTGAGACTAACCACTGTACAGATCCTGCAGGTGATAAACGTGCAGCACTAAAGATGTTTAATGCTTTCTTTCCAAGGTCTAACTGAAGAGAGTGCTGAGTGCACATCTAGTTTCTTTGGAGTTTGCTGACATGGTTTGTGGACAAATGAGCTTTGACTTCAAATCACCTAATTCATTTACCCGTGTTCTCTAGATCCACAGAGCATTCCACCAAGGTAAATTACCTTAAGCCACACAAATGAGTCCAGGTGAAGGTTTTACATATATCATTTGACTACAAAAGACAGATTTTTAAAAATGAGAAAGGGAGATAAAAAAAAATCCCTCTCTCACTTACGCAATCTGATCATTGACAATCATTTAGTGAAATTTGAGGTTTAGTTCACCGAATTGCACTGTTTGTGATAGTTGGTGA